AATCCTACTGCAGAGCTGGAATTCCTACATCACATGAGCTACAAACACACTACACTGCTGTAGCAGCTGAAGAAGACATAGCTGTCCAGTGGCTCATTAGAAAATACCAGCAAGCGAGTGCAGGAGAGGCAGTAACCTTTGGGTAAGCTCTGCAGGTGGTGAACATCTTCCTAAAGAGAGTGCCAGGTCTCACTTGTCAAATATTTACACGCATGACAAGAGTGCAAGCCTTTTAGTTAGATAACTCCTATCCCATGGATTGCCATTTCTGCAAATCTTGCACACCACAAAGCAGAATTTCAATCAAATGAATTCTTTTCTTGTCCATTTACATTGTTTTTACTCCCCCGACTAAGAAACAAGGTCCCCTAAAGAACCTGATGGGACAGGGGAGTAGTTTCAAGCAGACCTGAGATGGACAAGTACTTCTGGGCCAATAAATTTGCCTTTTTTGCAAGGGGACTTACTGAGCAACAGTAATTCCTTTCCGAAACAGAATTCCTTTCTGAAAGGAACAGTCAAAGAAAGAAGTGAGAATAAATGTGGGAAAATATATGCTTTCTGAAAACAAAATAATTATAAAGAACTAGGCTTATACTTCTGCTACATCCACAAAGAACCAAAGGGAAAGAGGGAGGAAACTCCTTGTGGCTGAGCAGAGACTGTATCGCTCATCAGTGGGGAGAGTGGAATGGAAGCTCATTTTCTTAATGAAGGTATCTATTGTCAGAGCAGTTCAGAGTGGCAAGCACAGGAGGCTGGCTTTGCAACCGTAGCATACAGTTGTATGAATATTAGAAAATGAACTTGTTTTCCCCTTTCCCCTTTGATTTCTCCCTCAGTGCCACACAACTCCTGCTGAGATCCAGGGGAATCTGCTATTGTTCCAAAGCACCTGGGTGTGAAGGGAGTCACAGGGTCTGGCGCAGGAGCCTTCCTCCCTTCCTTACTTCATCTCTTTTTCCCTGGAGATAATCCCTCTCTCTGCTGCCTCTGGCCTCAGTGATCCAGTTTTGCATTTCTGGAATGTAGCTGGCTGGGATTCTCCCCATCTTCCCCCTGACCTCTTAATGCTGTTTAATCTTCTTGCAGAGGAAACTTGCCTACAAAGCTGAGTTGTTTGTTCTATACATCTAAGTGTAGATCATGAAGGGAAAAAATGAGCATGTTTGCTTACACCAAATTGTCAAAACAGCAAATAAGCTGGCAATTTCCACTTTATGGCCCACAAAAGTTTAACAGCACTAAGAATCAGCTGGGAAGAGAACTTGGACAAGTCTTTTCACAGTCAGATAAGCTGCTTTAATACATGGATATATTTTCCATTTGTTTCATAGTTATTTACATTATCCCAGAGAATACTAATTCTCTCTAGTTTTGCATCCAGAATGGAATATTATTGTATCTCTTAAGTACAGACATACTTTGAAGAGTCTCTTGTATTTTATTAAGCTTTACCTTTAGGTAAATAAATGGAATATAATATTCTATTTGCTGGTAAATAAAAGTAAGCCACAGAAACATAAACACACCTAAGCTGACAAAAGACATTTGAATTTTAACAGAAACAATCAGGGAGCTGAAAAGAACTGCCAGTATAGCTTGCTTCTAGTGAAATGATAGCCTTTCCCACCAACCCAACCCAAACACCTCCAGTATCACAACAGACCTCAATGTTCCAAGCTTTGGGTCCTGTCAAAGTAACCCCTAAACAGACGCTGGCTTGGAGAAGGCATGTGTTCAAACCAGTCAGTGACACAGTGTAGTGTTTATTGTCATCTTTCAGCCATTCGGAGAAAGATAAACATGTGCATCCTACCTAAAAAGTGGGAGTGTCTGTATGGAAGCAAAAGCTACAAACACCCATGTTCCACATGGGTGGAACGTCCTGCCTGTCCCACGGGAAGGATCCCAAGGCCAGCGACAGCAGCGGGTGCCAGTGGCTGGATACACAGCACGAGTTCCCATGTCTCAAGTAAGTTTCAGTCAGGTTTTAAGACAAAAAGCAGGAATAAAGTAAGCAATAATAAGACATTCACAAAGGATGTTCTCTGCAGTATTGTATCTTCTACTATAATTCACCTTACTTTTCCCCAAAACAGAGAATACTATTCAGTACCACACACTACTCATTTGATTCGTTCTCTTGGCTTGAAAATCATTCCCTCTTCTCCCCACTCATTAAACTTTGGTTGCTTTCATTGCTCTTCCTACTTGTTGAGTGCAGTTGTATTGCCTCAGAGCCCGTGACGACAGCTTCTTATATTTGTTCAATCTGAGGGTCAGTATTAAAGGTAGACCCTGAGTGCACTCAAAAAGCATGCAAAGTTAAACCTGACAAAAAGCCGTGGTCAAGCCCCCTTCCTCTCTGCTCTCCTCATGTCATCTTACTAAGAACACTTTGTTTAAACTTTTATTGCATTGCCCTAGGCTATCTGGCTAAAATCCTTCTTTTCACAATCAAGGAGAGCTTTCCCACAATGTCTTAGTATTACAGAAACCACTGTTAAAACAATTCTGTAATAAACAGCTCTCTCAAACAATGCCTGGTAACCAGTCCCCAAGATGAGCTACAACACTACGGGATCTCACACAGTTAGATAATTGCTGCTAAATTTCTGAGAACAATCACCTGAGATGCTATACATTCAAAGACATTTCAAGATATTTCACTGATATTTTTTCTAGCCTAACAACTGCAGATACACAACTGCATTTGGAAAAGCTAGAAGCTACCTCACTATAGGGTGAGAGATAATGAGTTAAAATTAAAGGTTGCTGCTGGCTTGCTAGCCCATCCCCCTTTAGCTAATCTGTCATGTAATGAAGAGAAGCACCTAGCATAGGACAGCTAGCTGCCGGCTCACTTACAGCGAGCTGATTAAGAATGTTCAACCAACAGCAGACTGCAGACCTTTCCAACGAAAATAAATAGACTGTATGCAAATGTGTTTGTCACTTTGACAGCATGTCTCAATTAAAGCATCTCGCTGCTGTTGGTAGGCTCGCTCGCTGCAGTGCTATGGACGAGCCTTACTGCATTACTGATACACGGGGCTTGACCCTAATCCGCATGCATGCATTTTAAAAAAGTCTGCCTTTGCCATATACACCAGCATAATACCAGCAGACACAGAAAGCAAGTGACAATGAGAAAAAAGCCTCTTTCATCCTCTTCAGTTTATAAGAACTGTGAATGCACAAACAGCCCTTATTTCAGAGTTCTTGTGGCTTTTTAATTGTTCCCACCTACTGTATTCTAGACAGAGTTAAAAGTGACACTAAAATCTCTCCCTTTAATCACTAGTTAGAAGCTATCTCCCATTTAAACAGTAAATGTTGCTGCTTTTTTCCTCCCCCAAGCCTTAATTTATATTTCATAAACCTAAACATCTTTTCCTGTTGAATGAAAGTATGTTTAATTTTCATTTCGGCATTGGGCTAGTGGGAAAAAAGGACCCATGAGAGGACACAGGCTCTAGGGGAGACAGCCCTATACCTGCTAAATTAGTTCATTTTTTGGAAACCGACATCTGTAACGTAATGACAGCAATAAGCATTTAGGAAGCGAGCCTTTCACCACAGCCAGTGGCTCAGTAAAGAAAGTGTGTGTTTCTTTTGACACCGAGAAAGTGATCATTAAAAATTTTAAAAGTGACTGTTAAAAAACCTCATGAATTCAAATTTGCACTTTCCATGTGATTATATTTTTCATTAATCAACCAAAAGGTTTGAACCATCCATCCTTCATAAAAATCTAAAGGAAAAAAATGGAAGTAGATCATTATATTACCTGGATTTTTGACTGCTTTAAGTGAAACGTAACATTTTCCTGCTAGTGCTAGATGGCTACATTTCTCCAGTAGTCCCAGTTCCTCTCAACAGTATCGGCACAGAAAGTAAGTGAAAAATAAATCACTACTGCAAATATTTAATTGGAAGAGAATCTGTTTCTTTTTAAAAAAAGGCTCCAAGAACTTACATTTAGCAGAGTGGTGAAAGTTCTGAAAAAAACAAACGTATTTCTAAAACAACACAGACACCATGCTCTGAGCAGTGGTTATATCCTGTGTAGCCCTGCCTCAGAACTAAACAGCCAGTGCAGCTACACCCACTGGTTTCTATTAATAGATGCTTATCTAAAAATCTTGTTTGCTTCACATTCTATAATTCCCACTTATTTTACCATTGTTTTAAAATTACACTATGTTTCCTTAGAAGAAACCAGATATTCACTTCTGTTTTCTGATCATAACACTGTAAAAAATAGATACAGAGAAAGAAAAGAGAACTGTGAACACAAATAATGTTATTTTTTGAGTCAGGCTACACTTACTAGGGAAACACTGACAAACCGTTAGTAAATACTGTACGTTTCTCCATGAAAAAATCACAGCAACTAAAACATTTTATAAATAATTAGCTCTTAAAAATCACACAACCAAACTCACTCTTTTGCAGACATATCAAAAGAAACATTGTAAGAGTAACTAATGTGTATAGCTCAGTTGTCAATACTGAAATACAGAGTACACTAATAAGCTATTAATTGATTTTTCCATCTTAGTTCATCGCATTTAATTTTCAGAGAATGCTAAAAAGCTTTAATAGTTGGATGTTCCATATTGACACTAATGATCTGGCTAGATAACAGAGGACATTTTAAATTACACATCCTCAGTCCTGAGGGCTATAGCATTTTGCATGCTAAAAGAACAGCAAAATAGTTTATAAAATTACTGTAATAATTATGCTTCCCCCCACTCATTCACTTAGAATTTATTTTCCTCAAAACCATCATATGAACAAAGGAATCAGTAAATCCCAGAAAAATCAGGTCTTTAAAACCCCATTTAAATAGATACAGCAGAAATGAACCTATAGTAATATAATTCACTTACAGAAAATTATTAAACAATTGGCAAATCGCTATTGTGACTATTCTCTGAACTATTTATGCTGAGTCACACAATTTAAAGAAGCCCAGCACTAAGACATACCTGACCAAAATGCACTGTGATTGGCCTTCTGTCTTCTCTTAATTTCGGGTCCTTCTTCTCCACCAAGGGCGAAGGTGCCGTCCTTGGCAGAGCCTCCTCCGGGGCTGCAGAACAGCCATTCTCCGTGATGTCCTGTGCGGTAGGAAAAGGTGAATAGCGTGGCCAGGAACATTCCTGATTAAGGGTAAGGGTCACAAAGGAGACACTAGAGGATAATGCTGACTAACAATTTTGATGTTAGGGAAAAAAAAACCAAAGTACAGAAAAGAAAACACCATTAGAATGAAACATTTTGTTGTACTTTGTCAATCAGAGTTTGCACACAACCACTCTCTCCTCCTAACACCAATGGTGCACGCAGACAGTCACATTCAATAAAATGTCTGACTTAAACATGCAAAAGCCAGGAAATATATAGGGAGGAAAAAAGCATATAGTCACAATTTCTATTTTAGGAACAAATTCAACAGACACCTAGGAACAGGGTTATTCTGTTTCTGCAAACAGTAATTCTATTTACATACTTCACAGAATTATCTGCAGTGGAACAATTACTCGTGGAAGTGGCAAGGAGAGATGAAACTCCGAGCTTCGTTTGCTTTGTGTTTTATCTTTGAGCCTGTGTACACTGAATATGCCTTCAGGATCGTGTAAAACAAACTGCTGCCTAGCAGGGCGCTTTTTTGTTTTGCTTTGCTTTTGCCATTAGTCCCCATCTTCAGAAGTGACGTGACCCACCATCCTAGGTTAGAAGACTTGGCAAGTGTATGTATGGTATATGTAACATGGGTTTTGAAAAAGACAAAGGCGTGCAGACATAAGGAATCAGACAAGGAGAAAAGAGTTTGAAAGTCAGTTGAGAAACAGTCTGTAACGCAGTGGGCCCCAAACCTTACATCTCTTTGCAACAATGTCAAGGAAATAATGCTTGGTAAATATAGAGAGAAACCTGCACACACTGTAGCTCTGCAAGACTGACCTAAGGTTGGCTGCTGACATCGACATTGCTTTGATTCACCGACCTTTGACATGCCCCCTCGAGTTTCCGTCTCGCTAAGGTACAATAATGAGACATGTAAGCCGATGGCCAATTAGAAATGGTTCTTTTGGACACAGACTGACCTAATGTGTTTAGGTCAAATGAAACAAAAAGCTGGATGGACTTTCTAAGGGGCTTTGTCTGCTCCACAGAGAAGCTGAGAGACCTTTTCAGATCCAGCTGGTAGAGCAGTGGTTCACCAATATGGGCATAAGGATCGTGGGGAAATTAACAACTTGTTAAGGTCAAACTAGAGAGAAAAAACTTTTTCCTCCCCCCGTCCTCCAGCTGCACAAGGCTACCTTGCCTTTAAAAAAATTCAACAAAGTACACTGAATTAGTAACAAAGAGCCCCAAAACAACTGAGCGACAAGAAAAGTAAGCTGCTGTCAAACTCATACTTCGGCCCCAAAGCAGCCACAAGCTGCCAAGGGATGTGGTCAGCTCTGGAACCATGTAACACACACTGTACACTGTTCTGAAACGTGACCACATTCAATACAACCTTTATTTACCTATTTCTATACAAATATAACCATATGAGATGTGCCCCCAGCTGCAGGCCCTTTGTGTGTAAGCCGTAATGGTGCCCAGCACATCCAGTGCCACCAGAGCGCCCCGAGAGCTCCGAGTCCCACCTCGAGCTGCGGCTCCGACCAAGGCCACAGCCCGCTGGGAACCAAGGGAAAGCAAAGCATATCCCAATCCAGGCAAAATCTCCAGAAAAATGTAAAGTGAACGCAAAAGTTCGCACATCAGGGGGATGGGAGGAGACAAAAGAGACAGCCAGATCAAGCCATTAAGCAAACCCCTAAGATGTATAACCATCCCTGCAAATCCTTGCAGCTTTTATCGCTATAGATTTGCTGTACTTCTCTGATGGTATAATTGCATACAAAAAAGATGGCCCTAAAGCTTATTTCCACTGCGTTTGGTGTACAGACTTCCCAAGGAACTGCAGATTTCAGTTACCTTATTTTTTAAAATTACTTAATATATAGGAGAATGAAATTTCGGTATCTGCTTTTTCAAAACCCCCAAAAGGCAGAGAAATCACCAACACAGCTTCAGTTCAGTGAAACCACACGAGCTAAACAGACAGTGGAACCTGACTGTAGACATCCCAAATAAGGGCTCCAAGTAGCTTTAAAACCATGAAATGCCAAAGCGTTTGGCAATTCTGTAACTGGAAAGCAGCCAAGAGTCCTGCAAAGCAGCCTGTGACACACCTTCACCCCATCCACAGGTATTGGGAAGTCAATGGGGAGCACAGGACAGAGAGATAAAACCACAGAATTATCTCCACATATAAAGAGTGCTTCCCCTAAAAACTGTTTGTCCAGGTGAAATCTTTACTATCTATTTATTTTAAAGGAGTAACTTCAGAGAACGAGTACGATATGTATTTACAGATATGTAAAGTTTACCCTGTAATCTGAATAAGGTTTTCTTCTGTTTAAATATGCATTAGTAATTTTTCTAGGGACCTTTTGTAATGGACTACAAATACTGCCTATTAGAAGAGCAAAAAACACATTCTAGAATGTCTAGAAGGATTCTTCAGGTTATTTTATAAACCTCTAAATGAGCTGTTTCTACTGTACTGATAATAAAGCATTGACAACAGCCCATTGATAACAGCCATTAACTAGAGCCGCACGGGGCTCTAGTAAGTAAAATAACGTTGAATACATTAACGCCAAGTGCCCAACCATTTATATAAATTGTCTTATCCAGAAGCTTTCAGTAAGTTACATTCTCCTTACTGAAAGTTGAGGATGGTACCATTCATATTCCTCCTTCTTCCTAATTCTATGTAGTTAAGCTTCAAACAAGCCAATAACAGAGTGACTTGACCACCATGGTCCATTTGTGAAATGGAAAAAGCAGCCTTTACAAAAAAAAAAAAAAAAAAAAAAAAAAAAAAAAGAAAAGAAAAGGAAAAAGGAAAGGAAAAGAAAAGAAAAAAAAAAAGAAAAAGAAAAAAGGAAAAAGTACTGTATCAGATATAAAATAAAGCTACCATGCTGTATCTATTAACAATTATTTGCTATCACTCATAAGAATCCTCTGAAAACTATTTCTGTTGCTTTGAAATACTGTACCACAAATGAACAAGGGATGGAAATAGAGCCCCATTCAATCTCTACTATCATATTAAAGAAGGACCTTACACACACCACAGTGACCTCTCAACAGGTCAATCCTGCATTTCCCATTTGCAATTCAAACCCAAGACTGGAGCAGACCAAGGGCAAAATGGGCTCTTGATTATATTTAAGAGGTCACCATTGCTATGCAGAGTTGTAGGAAGCAGACCTCTAGCTTTATTGCATTTTTAAATTCTATCTTGTACAGAAGCTGCTCATATTTGGCAGCAAAAACTGGAAAAGGGATGTTTATATTTGACTTTTCCTTACCAGTGGCTTGCATACTTTCTGTATTAATAATGGAAAATAATACGTTAAAATGCAGTGGATAGTAAGTTCAGTTTAAAAACAACCTTAGCTTATCCTTAGAAGATGAAAGACTAGCATCACAAATTTGGCAAAAATTATTCAATGACGCTAGAATTTCAAACAGTTAACACTTGCACATACTAGTAATTAAATACATGAAAAATACAATGTTCTCACATGAAAAATGGTGAGGATGCACCAATAGACTTGTCAACAGAGCAGCACAGACATTTAGATTAAAAATAATATGAGGGTGGTCAAAACAATTTTTGCTATTTGTATCACTTTAAACATAGCAATATGGCATTTTGGAGTTCTCTTCCTACCTTGCATGCAAACTGGAGAAAAGGATGGGATGGAAAAGAACAGGCTTGAAGAAAGGAGAGGTACAGCAGGATGTGTCAACTGCTCATAGAAATCTTTTAAGCTCTTCTGAAAGCCTATGTTGAACAATCATGTTTAACCACCTTACAGAAATGCCACATAATAAGGAAGACAAAACAAAATGGGGCCATTTATCTGTAAATGTTATGTGTGTTTTTTAAAAAGAATGCTTTCTGCTGGAAAGACTGGAAAGACAACAAGAATAATAAAATGAAGCAATGAATGAATGAGATGTTTCTCAGCCTTTTATACAAATGTCACAGAATAGCATACAATTATATTAGCACTTAAAATAAAGGAAAACAATCTGGTCATTTTACACAGCTCCAACTGCTTTAGAAATGCACATGAGAAGGCCAAACATTTTATTATTCATGAAGGTTATGTCCAGAAGTGAAACACATGGAATTACATAAAAAATTCCATGTACAAGAAAACTGCTTCATGTTTCTAAGATTTTCACGTTATACCTAAAGTGGCCACAAAAAATAGTAAGTGTAATCAAATAAAAGAGCATTAAAAGCATCTGAAGCAACTTATTTTCCTCAAAAACCTCTTGCAATCTGCTAGAGTATTTAGGGAGCAAACAGCACTTGGACTGTACACACAGTGTATTAATTTCACGAGTTCATAACCCGGCTGCAGAATAATCTCTTTGTATTAACACTTTGTTGACACGTTCAGGTAGATTTCTGATTGTGCCTCAGGAACACTTTTCCAGCATTATCTTAAGATAAGGGCTTCAAAATTTAGAGAAGAAATTTACTGAGATAGCACAGATTAAAAGAACCCCAAACTATTATGCAACAAATTGAATACAAATTTCTGATAAGAAGTTCAATTCTATTAGCAAGTTAGTTACCTTGTTTTCCCAAAAGACTCTACTAGCTCTGTTCCATAGAATAAACAGAATCTCTGAAATAAACCCAGGGCAGAGTTTGGTACGTATGAGTACGACCATGCCTCTGGCTTAAAAGGAGCAGTGAGTATTGATACCACATCCATCTCACACAATTCACCATTCTTGGAAGTGCACTGTTTCCAAACAGAGACAGATTTGGAAAGCAACAAACAGTTTGAGTATTTTTTTTCTGCAGTAATTCACATTTGAAATGAACACCAACTCTAATTTAATTCCCTTATGCCTAAACTTTGCAGTAGACAGGAAACATATAAATCCTTTTCCCAATGAGTGACTATTTTCCCTGAGAGATTCTGTAGAAATAACAACTATTTGCCATTTGCAGAAAGTTCACAGCCATTACTGTAGGAAAGATCTCCCAGTTCACATAACGTCCGCTTCCACAACGCCCCAGCACAAAGGACAGGAGACAGACTGCTCCAAATTGAACACTCAATTTTCTGGCTTTTGTGAGTTTAAGTCAGAGCCTTAATGTATTTGAAGACAGTTTTTTTTTGTCTGTGAATATTTATAACAGTGTGAAAAATCCAGGACAGCTGGTAATGCATTTTGAAGTGTGCTAACAACACTGTATCAAACAGCTTCCTATTGATCACATAATGCTTTTTGTGGCTAAGTATTTCATACATGGTGCTTATACATTTTGAATAAGAACTTCAAGTACCTTTTGCTTCAAGCGGTTTTTCACTTCTTTTATTCCCATTTTTGCATGATCTTTTGCCTGCATGAAAAATTAATTTAAGTTAAAATCTCCTTCTATTTCCAGCAGTGACAACGCTTGATTTCGGTTCAAGATTCACCTTCTCTAGTTACTAAAAATGGCAAGTTAAAAATTGTAAGAGGATACTGATAGTGTATTAAAACAAATAGAAAGCTAAAAAAAACCCAAACAAAGAAAAACCACCACCCCCCACACCCACATTCATTGCAAGAATGTTGTTTTCTCTGTTTTGATGCCATAGACATCTTTCACCTTTTTGCACTCTGAAAGTATTTATCTTTGCTATAAGTTAAAAACCAACACAAACATGAAGGCTGCAACCTTTCTTCCCCTCAGTCCTCCGGACACCAGTCCCATTTAGCAGAGCTAATCTCAGCCTGCTCAGCTCTCTCGGCTGGAATACGGCAGGAGAAAACCAAAGTTTGAATAGTTATCTCAATGCTTTTTGTAGCGTTATTCCTAAAACTGAGCTGACAGGAAATCCTCGCTTGTTTCTGTGCTGTTTTATCTTGCAGAGTGAAACTGGCAGCCCTACGTGATAACACAGCAACATACCAGCTGTTTGTTAACAGAACTGGAAATATTCTCATTTAAAGAATAACTCAGTAAGCTGGGCTCTAAATAAGCAGGTATAAGAAATCTCTAGGGAAAATTAATTGACATTTAGAAAAGATGGAAACAATTTGGAAAATGAGAGGATTCCCTTACTTCGATGAAGCTGCAAGCAGGGAAACCTGAGGTAACAATGATTTCCAGCAGAGTAATGATGTGATGGTAGAGCTGCTCAGTAAACCACATAGGCACCATTTCCCAGAAGCAGTTCTATGTAATAAATAGAACTTATCATCTATTCTTTCAAAAGAAATCACAAGTTCCCCTTCTCCTTTGCATTTCAATTATGTATAAATTTCAAAATGGCTTTTCCACTTAAATTTGAAATTTAGATGAATGCGTATTTTAAGTAATTTCCTGAGTCCTATAAAAATGAATTTAAGTCTTGAGTTTCATTTGAAAGGTTAAAACAGAACGGTAATTAGACTCTTATCTCAGTAGTAAGCCAGTACTTGATACTTACAAACTTATAGACAGTCTTCATGGCAGGGTTAGCCTTGGTCTTTACTGTATTTAAAATGGCTCCGCTTCCTTTCTGTAATTATAGTGACAATAGAATAAATTTTATCAAAGCTCTTTAAAGCAAACAGCAATCTAAAATCCACCATTCTTAACTTAAAATACCAAAGCACTAACTATGCTTATTAGCAGAGCTGAGTATTAAAATGGTAAATCTAAAGAAAAAGAATAGAAGTGCAAACATATTATATGTTTCTCTGGTTTTCTAGAGGAACCTCAATTTTTTTTTTAAATCAGCAGTTTTCAAATGAAAAATGTCAGTATCTCCTAATACCAAGAGCCCTCACAAAACAGGAGCTCTGTTCTATGGTTGTTCCATTCCCCTGTACATCACATTAAAATCCTAAATGGGTTTCAGACAAAAGTATCCCACCAAATACTCCATGTCTTGGGCAGAAAATTCCGTTTCAGGAAAGCCTGAACATCCAATCTGAAGAAGTAAGATCCTTTTTTATTTTACTTTTCATGATTCCAAAATACTATTTATCAAAAGCATGCTGCCTTTTTAAGACTTAAGTAGACTTAAGTAGACTTAAGTAGACTTAAGTAAGGGAAAATGAAATCTAACTACAGTTATAAACATTAATTCTAGAAAAGCTGAATTGCATGTGGTGAACATAATAAAAGTCATAAGACAGTAATATGTCAGCCAGAACAGTCTGGTCAGTGTTTTACACATCTGCCACACACCACCGACTATTGCTGCACTGCAACTTATTTGACAAGGAGATGGGTAAAATCCAAGGAATAAAATCTTAGATAGATTTGTATTTTCTTATTTCAGTGCAAAATTATATTTCCAGAGATCAGATGCAATCACACGCAAACAGTTTTAAGATTTACTACTTCTGTTGCTACATGACAACTAATCTGAAACAAAAATTATAAACTGTTGAATTTAATGACAAGTATTTTTATATTCACTCTCTTCCCCTTTCTTATGATTTTAAAACTTGTCATCCTTCATATTTATATATATAATATTAAGTATATATATTTTTACCTAACAATATGATGGGAATGTTTGCATTACTGTTATAAAATACGTTTAATTCAAAATTATCAAGTTAATATTGAGCCCAGCATTTTGTGCGAGGAACATGATTTCGTTCATAACCATGAAAATAGGCAAAAGGGATGCTGCAAACTCAATTCTGTCAGGAAACAATTCAATCTTTCCTACTGATTTGTACCCATAATCCAGAAACACGTTAGTTTTTAATATATCACATTTTATGCATCAAAGGAGAGTTTCAAAATCAGCTGTCAATTGTCAGCTATAATAATATATTCCTTAAAAGTATTAAATTTTTTAATTTATACAACTAGAGCACTAAACCAAAGAAATACAAACCCCATCCCAAACAGTGCTGTCCCCAGTTCAGCACTTCACACCATTTAGCTTTACAAAAAGCTCTTTGGTGCGGCACTATTCCCTTTCCTGTTCTCTTAAAAGAAAATAAAATCCACATTATTTTCTAGAATGACAGTAACTGACACTAACAGCTGCCTCCAGGACACTAAAAGTGGGTTCCAAAAACTTTTTAATTCTCATGGTGATTTTTTTTTTTACTGTATTTTTTCTTCTGTTCTTTATCTCACCCGAGGAGCGCATTAGTTTCTCACAACTAAACTCGGGTTGGTCACAAGTGACCACTGCAGGCAGCGGGTCAGTCACGTTCACGAGGACAGAGGTTTAACAGCCACCCAGAGCTGTACAATGGTCCAGTAAGAACCAGAACGTCTGTTGGGAGAATGTTGTGTTCTTACCCTCACTGTGGAGAGCCACTGGTGGTACAATTTGTCGCTACCTGAAGAGAATCACAAAAACAAAGGGATTGTAACTCTCTACCAAACAGAAAACACGCTAGAAATGTGAAGAGTTAGCAGTCGGTGGTTCTGGGAGTATGGAGAGAACAGACACAGAACAGGACAACCATCCTTTTCTTTTAATCCATTTGTTACACAGTAACAAAAATTTGACAAGATATTCAAAATTTCTGTTTTACTTGCTAAGAGGCGTTCCTATTTTATCTGGGTTTGTCTTTTCTGACATTTGAGAAGATTATTTTTTATGATTGTGAAAAGAAATTTGAGGTTGTCCTGGGTAAAGCCAAGGTTTTTCAGTATCCTCCATTACAAGAACTCTTTTAGTTGTACTTTAGCCAAGTGGCAAAGCTGAGGATTTGTAAGGCTGAACAGGCTTTACTCACACTACAATGCATTACCCAAAGTACTGGACAGAGGGAAGAACAAAAATTTAAGACACTTCATCCTACAGGAAACATTGCAGCCTCAGCTATTTAGGTGAGTCCCCACCATCATCTATGACATCATGATGGGCCACAAAGAGTAAGACAAGAACAGTGTCTGAAATTAAAATGTATTTCTTACCTGCATATTCCCCCATATTTATCTCTTCTTCAAACACATCACTGAAGCCCTCTCCAGAGTTAAGAAGATCCAGGCGGCCATCAATGAACTGCATCAGCATTAAAAGAAAGTGTAATCAAATCAACCATTCCATCCTTTACCTTTTCAGACAGACTTTATTTTGTATTTGCTAGAATAACCTCAATGGTGTTATTGGGAAGGGACTCTAAATAGAATGAAAATACATCCAGAACTGGCAAAATGTTTGCCGTTTATCATGGCAAAAGTGTATGCTGCTTCACTAAAAACACCAGCATTCATGTGTTTGTCTTTACATATGTGTTTTCAGCTTCCCCTGAAGTGGTATGCCTTCTGTTCAAAGTTTACAGGAGCTATATATTGGGTTTAGGTATGCTCAGAGCAAAAGTGAGCACAGAGACCTTTAGGAGGAAAACCCATTACACCTCTTAAAATACAGAAAGCCTTATCACCTGAATCTGAGAAAAGCCAGCGAGCAGGAATTAAGGTGCTGCACTACATGAATTTTCCTCATTCTGTTGCTGACAGACCAAGGAATATAGGAACAGCCCTCAAAAACCCCAGTGGTACTGTTAAAGAATCTGCTTCTCCATTAGAGCAATTAAGCCAGTACCTGCTTGAAGAGCTGGAGCTGAATGGCATTCTGAAGGAACTGCCTCATGACAGCAGAACGATGGGACACGAACGTTTCTTCACAAAAAGTGATGGGTTCACCCTGCAGAGTTCAGAGCAGTAAACACTGAAAAAACTTTGTCTGAATCCATTTGAATTCACTGTCTCCATTTTATCTTTCCTTGTGTTCCCTTCCAAAACACACAGATCAATAAGGCAGGTCTTACACAACATTCAGTAAACTGTAGTTTATTCCCAGGTTTCAACTGTGTGACTGAGAAACAGGCTGGAAACTGGCAAATTGTGTATCAATGACACAAAGTCATCTCAATTTTGTATATTCTGCTTATCTGCCTCAGCTGACCCAGGCAGTTCCCCTGCACAAATGCATCAGGAACATCTGCTCTGTTCTCTCCACAGTCAGAAGGATTAGACTTTCATATATTGAATGAGTGAAATTTCCCTTTTTCACAACCTTGTTGGCAAAAGACATAAATTGTTTTGCAGCTCTACTTTTATCTTATTTTAATGAGTTATGTTAATGCTGAAGTCTGCTGTGCATCTGCCATAAGGGCACAAATTTCCTCCACGCTTAAATCTACAAATAAGCAATGTATCAAGCACATATACTAATTGAATTAAAAACAAGAAAGTAACAAAGAATGATAAAATTATACTGATGTATAATTAATATGGAGGCTTCCTCATAACCATATTAAAATATATTAGGACTCTTAATCTGTTGAGTGTTTAAAATCAACATTAGATAGCAAAAAACCTTAAAGCACTCCCCTTAAAAGGGTCGTATCGTTCCATTTCTGAGAGCTTTTGATATTGGTTACCAGAGGAAGGTTTAGCTTTTATTTAAGCCTCATTTACAAACCACTTCAAAGGAAACAAGCAACCCTTCCTACAATCTACGAGAACCCAAAATTTCTCCTCTGGCCAGAGTATGAACGTTGTGGAAAGAAGAATGCCCTGCCAAGGAGTGGCCTCCTCTGCTCCGCTGTGCGTCCCGCACACCAGCCCAGCCAGGGACCGCTCCTCCAAACACACCCAGCCCAGCAGAATTACCATGCTAACACACCTCCTTCCCCAAGTACTAATGATTGACTTTGTTCATTAGGTTGATTAGACCTTTTGACTTCTTAAGAGACAATTCAGACTCTACTGCTGCTAGATGATAGCAAAAACTTTAATCATCAAGGTCAAGCGTGAGCTTTTCAGCCTGGAACGCATTAGTACCTTCCATCCTCCCTGACCTCCAGGAGGGTGCACACACTGTTGCTAACCCCCATCCACAGCTTCATTACGAAAAGACAAGATGGACAATAACACCATTTTCCTGACAGATTTAGTTAACTGTAAATTATAAAGCTAATCAGTTCTGCTTTTACTGACCGATGACATTATACATGAGGGGACATGTTAAGAACTGCAGGTATTTTGTGAAACATGGTCTTGTTCACACGTAAAACAATTATAATGACTTTTCCCCATAGACCCACCAACTCCTAAACTTCCCGTTTCCAACAGTCAGTATTTAGGCCTTGATTCGTCAGCACCTTAGATATCCATTATTTCTCTCTCCAACTATAAATGCATAACAGAGGCTAAGGTATGGCATTGCAAATGCTCTAAATGTGTGCACAATGCCACTCTATGAGGAATCTGATCTGTGGTATTAGGTGTTTCACATATATTTCAAGATTGGATGACAAAATTATTTTTAATACAGAAATTTACACATTTCAAAGACATTTAATCTGCAATGCTAACACAAGAGAAGTAACTTTCCAATACAAGACTAAGAATCCCAGATGCATTGAAAAAATAGGTGCCTTTTCTTTATGCCTTTGCAAATCTCCCTTTATATGAATATTTTATATTCACATGGCATAATGAAGTTCATCAGGGCAGTGCTGCTATCTCATGACCCCTGAAAAAGCTGAAAAGTTTCAGCCCACATCTGATCTGTTGCCAGCTCTATTTTAAAACTGGAATCCTGTTACATTCTAAAATAATGTTTAAAAGTCCTAAAGGTATCAAGTGAAAAATACAGGAGTCTAGGACTTACTTCAAACCGTTCTAGAGTTTTGTGAAACCTGCTGTTCTATTTTAAGAAGCCATAATGCAAATTGAAAGATAAAGCCTGATTTTGATTAGCTGCGCTGTAAAAAAATTCACCCTAATCCCCCTCCTTCCAAGGAAATCACTTTTCTTCAGAAAGAAAAACCTCCTTTGAGAGTGGGGTCCAGGACCTCGTGCAGACGGTCACTGCCAGCGAGAGAAGCATCGTACCCGAGTTGTCCCACTTGTCTGCAGAGAGCCCAGCTAACCGGTGACGGCAGCAACTTTCACAGGGAACAGAAAGGATTAAAACTCTATGGGACTGAAGACAGCAAAGGGTAGAGAAGGACTTGGAGGAAGGGACAGAGGCAATCCCCAATGTGTGCCTTTCCAGGAGTAACTCATGGAAGTCTAACTATTCCCCTGCAAAAGCTGTGACACCAAAGTGCGCATCTGGATACTGGGGCTTTGGAGCCAGCGTGTGGCTGCTGGAGAAAACAGTAGGATAATACAGACAGGGTTCAAGGTAGGTCAACAGTGAGAGTCTCTTGCACAAGCAAAGATTTCACAAAACTTGATTCTAAGGTAAAAAAAACAACCCAACAACTCAAAGCTGAAGACTTTGTTTAGACAACCCTAAAAGTTATGCCATGGGAGATATATGAAATCTCTTCTGCATTATCATGGTCAGCAGGTGGTGCAGGGTAATGAATTATGTGCTGCTGTGTGCATGCCTTTAAACCACGTAGGTGCTCTTTCAAAGCCTCTCTAATAAATACACAAGCCATTAGAGCTGCTCTGTAAACCAGCCACGAAATGAAAAAATGTGGGTGGAATTTAAAGGTGCAGAACAAGATGACAATCTGACAGTCGACAAGCTGTAAGTCTGGTGTCAGTAGATTCTCTGCTGCAGACCCCAAATACACAGCAAGAACAACGACATGCAGGAGATTCATATATCACTGCTTCATTACTTCCTAGATGTTGCAAATAACCACATCCTTTACTAAAATTGGGTATGTCGCAAATGATAAAGTAAAGCCTGTGGGGATATTCTAGGAATCATCATCCTTAATTCCATCCAGAATTATAAGGGAACTAAGAGAGGAGAGTGATCTCGCTGATCTGGATGTATGTGTCAGTGTCAGATACAACAGCAACCAAAGGCAAGCAACTGCTCTGCAGACCTTTCAAGAATTGTGATTACAATGTCAAGGGAAGATTAGCTCATCACGGCTGAAGAAGGATCATCAGTCAGCCAGCAGGATTCCATAAAGAAAATCTGAAATTGGTTATAGACACCTGATAGGACATTGGCTCGTTCAGCTTGCAATTGCAACGACAAATAACCTCCCCATAACCAGTCCAGACGTTCAGCACAAGAAAGCTCTTTGCATCTGCTTCAGTCATAATGGAATCAAGAAAGCATAGATCAAATACTCTGCATTAAGCAAATGATACCACAGCTTTATTAGCATTTCAAGATGCTGCTCAGGAACAAAGAAATCACGCGCTCAGAGATTTGACCACACTTCTTCTAAAGAAAACTAAATTAAGATTCTGTTCAAAAAGAGACTACCAGTTCTGATAAACTAGTATTGCTAAGTGCAATCCTGAAAAGCATTTAAAAACATGTACTTACCAACACAGACTATACTGTCCAAATACTTACAGTCTCATATAAATGCCCATTTCCATTACCAGTCCAATTTCAGACTGTTTTTCATGGTCCACACTAGTGCATATAGCCTCTGGTAGAGATACAGCAAGAGTGAACATCCCTTCCGCTTTTTCTGTTTGTTTGTTTTTAATAGATTTAAAATATCTATACTATTTAAAATATCTATACTTTTTACTTTAAGATTTACAGTATCAAACAAAACAGGCCATTTCTTTAAATTCTCAACCCTTGCAATTGCTGTTGAACTGGAATTTCTGACACATGTCATTCTTCTGCATGTGATCTGGTATCTCCTGTAGTAAGTTGTAATAACATCAGTGAAGGAGAAATAAAAGGGAGAAAGGGGACTGTGAACCCGTTGAATCACCAACACCAATCGTAACACTTCATCACATCGACATCCCCTTCAAAACGTGTCACAACTGGGCTCACCCCCGTGCTGTGGATGAGGGGTACAGGCAGACACGCTGACGGGCATCACCCCAACCACGCTCGGGAGCTTCTTTCACAGACCTTTCCCTGACAGACAGGTCCCAGGAGGTGACAGACAGGTCCCAGGAGGTGACAGACAGTTCTGCAGAGCACCAAATAACTTTAACAACATGCTCCCCCAACCTCCTAACTCGGACATGACTAAGTAGTCACAGAAGTGTTTTTTCTGATTGTACTACAAAGAAGTAGAACACAACTTGCACTAACAAATGAGAACAGGAAAAGCTTGCAAAAATGTAGGTGTTTGTGATTACTGGACATAACCCAGTTTTCTCACAGAGATACTGGAAATTAATACATTTCAAAATTTTACCTTGCAAGCATTCTTAAAATTGTCACATAATACCCTTTATAAAACTAGATGCCAACCGGAGCTGAGTTAGACTCTAGGAAAAAAAGCAGGTTCATACACATTCTTGACCAAAAACCAAACAAAAATAAAATGTCCTCAAAAAGAACATATATCTTTTTCCTACCTCCACTGAAACTATCATTAATATTTACCAGGAGGCTGCCAACTAGAATAAAGTAATTTAAACACACAACTCAACTCTAAATGTAAAATTATAATACACAGATATTCAGACTTCATTAAAATTTTTTTAATACTGTAATTAGAACTGTGTGGCCTGTGCTTCTTTTAGAACTCCAGTACTCTGTGTATTATTGTAATGTCATGCATTATTAAGCTGTAGTCAATTTTACAACATCCAAAATACTTTCAGATCAAAAAACCCTAGACGTATTAAAATTACAATGAAACTTTTGTGGAAAAAAAAAAAGAGTAAGATTTATTTGCATTAAAACATTGTAAGAAGAATGGCTCAGATACTGAAAGTTTCAGTGAAAGTTCAAAACCC